TTTCAAAATAACTTTTCTATTGCATCATAAAGAGGCACGTTCATTAATCATACGTTTTATTTCGTAAAGGCAGAGCGTTTATTTTGCAAGAGGGTTGTCGACTTCGTTTTTACTTCCTTGGAGTGCTTCATGTCTTTGTGCTTTTAGGCGGATTGTTATATTCATTAATTTTCAGCGAAGGACTGCGCAGTCTTTGTAGGTCTATATTATGCATTTATATGGAAGTTTGAAAGTCTTGCCTCATGGATGTGTCAATTATATTTGAAACTTCTAAATGCGTGATTATACGTTTCCCACAACCATCGATTAAAAACTGAAGATTTAGTATAAATCACCTGACGAAAATTTCAATACTTACAGAAAAATGCGTATGATCCTTAAACTCATAAATCATCGTGACGACAGATCGGTGTGACTTCCAAATCCCAAGTAAAGCACACTTTACGTACGAGACAGATGTGACAAATCAAATTTGCATACAATTTTATATCTAGCAATTTAGACTACTGAGTGGAATAACAAACGTTTCGCGGCACAGGTTTGTATAAAATACAGCATTTTTCTGTGCAGCCAAACAACATCTGCAGAACAACGAATGCAGCTCGGTTACAATTTAATTCAAAATCTCTCAATGCAGGCAATAGTATTGTGTGCCAAGCAAACTGACACATTTTATCCTGGTCTCGCAATTACCAGGTTAAAAAGTGCATGCAGAAGCAAGTAGAAAATTAATGAAACTGTTGCACCAAACACGCAAAGTTTAATTAGCAATTCTAATTCTCGTTATAGGCCCCTTAGAGTACAACATTGACTATATTCATCACCTAGCATTTTTATCGACCTGTTTGTTGTAGTTTGTTTGATGTGTTCCGACAATCCTTCAAATAAATCCTGTACTGAAAGCTGTAAATCTTTTAAATGAATGCAATACTTTTTAGTATTCTACCACCCAGTTGTGGATGCCAAACGAAAGGGCAAGGAGTTTTTACAGTATACAATAGACCCATAAATTTGCGTGTGGGAAGTTAGCCCTTAACTTTTGCAATGGTAGTGGAGAGTGGAGTTCTCCCATATGCTCTAGAAAAATCTTAGAAAGAGTTTCGATAATTAAAAATCAATTTTGAAAATAGAGGATCCACACGGTAAAAAAGGTTTATGTAATATTCCATAACTTGAAAAGGATGAAAACTTTTACCTAATCTAAGTTATTCCCTAAGGTTTATTTTATTTTATTTTATTTTATTTTTCTTTGTCCCTGCTAAGGGATTAAAAATTGTACTTGTGTATTTGTATTTTTCGTAGAGGATCTGTACATTTTATTTGAGTTATTGGATTCTTGTTTTTTATAATTTTAAAATGATTATTTTTGTTATAGTTTTTGGCATTTTGGGTTATATATAAACTACCATTTATCAGCTCTACTTGTACTTAATCTTAATTTAATACTTAGTTTAAAATGCAGTTATTTTTATTTTTATTTTTTGTAGTACTTTGAAACTGTACACCGAAATATGTTTGTGCTTTTGGGGTTATTCACGTAATACATCATTAAATTAAAAAAAAATTAAAAAAAGCAATACTTCATACTGTATTTTCCCGTAATATGGGAAATACACAATTTAATTTTCCAGAGGATATCACAAAACAATCCATATCTTTTTTGGGTAGGTTTCCTGTTCCTATTATGTTTTACTACAGTATTTCCGCTAGCATATGTTACGTATGGTATTATGGAATATGACATGCCTACAAGTTAATACAAAAAACGTAACATATATAACAGAATTGTTTAACCACTCTCAAAAATCCTTGGGATAGGTTTTCAAGCCTATTTTACTATTGGAATCCTCATTAGACACCTTGCACGCAAAAAAATAAAAGCAAAAATAGCGAAATTGTAAATTTTTCTTATTAAAATGTAAACATAACCTGTGTAATGCAAATAAAACATGATACTCTCGATTATACCATTGAATAATTATTATACGATGATTATACTTAAAAGTAAAGGAAAAAAAGACTCAATTTCATGAACACTATAATTATGTTTGCTTTATGGAAGCACCAACATTGGAAAAAATGCATGATAATTATTATAGTGCAGCAGTGTTTCAAAAGTGCAAACAGAACCAAAGTTTGCTATCAAGGTCTTTATCTTGCACGCTCGCTCTACCCTTAAATTTACAATTGTTACAGATAAACAAAATTAAAATACGTACTTAGTACAGTGGCGCAATCAGAAATTTGCTTTGGGAGGTGCTAGAATTACGAGTTGTCTTAGTACCTACCCTTTTTCCTTGACTTGAAAAACCTTGCGAGTTTGGGCGATTTAAGAAACCCGCAAATTTTGAGATTTTGGGCGATTTCCAGGGGATATTTAAGCGATACGTATGAAGGAGCGGCCCGTGAAAACAAACGGCATTTCGTATTAAAATTGTGCCACTTCGAACACATGTTCCCTATACCTATTGGAGTGATTTGAGTCGCAGAGCCGGAAGTTCCGTCCCTTAGGATTGAAAATGGCGCCAATTTCAGGAAATATCTGTTTTTAGAGCGATTTTTACGTTTAGGGTGACGTTTACGAGGTTTCCAAGGGTGAAAACGACAAAAACAATATCCGAAGCAAATTTCTGTGTGGGAAGCATGATTGTATGATATCTTTAACGTCCGACAGGATTCGATAGTTTCTTGGAAAGTTTGACCGATTTTCGTTGTTGAGGGGGCGTTTTTGAGATTCTTTTGGGTGAAGATGACCAAAAAAGACCCATTAAAGACCTGTTTCTACAATCGATATCCAAAGTAGGCATTTGCGCTCCTATTTGACAACGCAAACGTCATATTTTTCGAGGAATGTCAATTTGTCGCTTAAGCGCGGTTTAGACGCTACGATAAATTGTAACAATTTATCGTAACGATCGAATCGTATACTTCTACTTAAATTTCACAAAATATTGCCCATTCGTCCTGGCACACCCTGTACACAGGATGTCCTATTTATCTCGAGACAGCCGATTATTGCGGAAACCAGCGGGAATATCAACAAATTATTTATATAAAATAATCTCCATATGGAGGGTCCCATTTTATGATACTGTGTATTCACATAACTGTCTCTTAAGAGTCAAGTATACGGCAATTAGTGTTTTCAAGTAGAAACCTATACTTTTTATTGAGTTAGTTAATCTACATCGGAAAATAGTAAACTTTCGTGAGAAACGTTTTTTCCCTACACTTACCATTCCTTAAAACACTCTTCCAAAAACGCGATTTTTGGTTTGAGCTAGGAAGCTGTTCTGTTAAGAATTAGGAACATATTAAACAAAATACGGTCAATACGTTTTCGAATAGACCTGTATATCTAATAATGTTCAGGTCAGAAACCTGCTTGGTGTTGAACCTGCATTACCTCTTGCAAAATTATACTCTAGCAGCACCTCTTACCAAATGAATGCCATATTTTGTTTCAAATGGGGTTAACTATGAAGTCATAGCTACGCCTATTCGTATGGGGAAGACCGATTATGCTAAACACTTCCGGTAAGGGCTGTGTTCAGATCTGAATAGAGTCTGAAAACTTATTCATATACCTAGGCAAAAGTATCGTGACTACTTCAGAAAGCTCGTTGCTTTCTCTTCATACACTAATAGCTCTTCAGTACTGATTTTTAATTTTTAATTTTTTTAAATTTTTTTATCCCTCTCTTGTTTTGGGCCCTTAACAGGCATGCGCCCAATTACAGAGTGACCCGCATAATGCTATTTAGAGGTGCCTCTACCTGATACATGCAGAATGAAAATTGTGAATAAAACACTCACCCTAAGCTGGCGCTCATCGATCACCTGAAACAAAGAAAATCGTCAATTACTGTCCAAAGTATAAGCATAATATAACACAATACTATGGTATAAGCTAGCACGCTAATCCCCAATGTGTTTTAATATAATGATAATAAGGAGGTAGATGAATGATAAGGAACTAAATTGTCGTTTATTTTTCTAAAAAAGAAATTACCAGAAAAGAAGAAGTGCGGGAAGCATGAAGAAGAGCAGGACCAAAACAAGATGAGCTCGGGAGGACCAATGTATTTTATGGAAGTTCGATGCGAATTCGAGGATGCAATACCGGGATCGCGGGATCCCGAAATACGGGGATCCCGCAGCGTTTTTGCGGGATTAATCCCGCATAAAAATGGAGCGGGATCCGCGGGATTTGCGGGACTGAGGAATTTGTCGACCTAGGGGACGACTCTGTTTACTTTGTTACTGAAACGCATAACGGAGAAGTTATTTTTTAGATAATTGTTAAACTTTTTTCGTTACAAAAGTACTATGATTTTTGAGGCACTTTAGAAGTTCACCTTTTTGTGCTTTACAGATGAGGTTTTTTTGGGTTCTAATCTAAGTTAGGCTAAGGCTAAAGTGCGGTCTTAGACTAGTCCGTTAACAATCTACCTCTGATTTTAACACTACAATCTCTTCTTGTATCCATCCGACTGCTTTTGATTTATTGTATCTTACGCTGTAAACTCTGTATACCATTGAATAAGCACCCCACAATTTAATGTTGTTACTTATATACGTTTCCCAGTTAATGAAGTGACTTGACAACCATTGCTTTGCAATAAAATTCGGATTGTCCATACGTATATGCGGTAGATAATTTATTCAGTTAATTTTTCAAATTGTTATAATAATTATGTAAAACGCGTTTGGTGCTCGTGATCGAGTTTTAAGTTTAAAATGGTAGTTCTTTTTAGAGCAAATTAGTGTTTCGATACACAAACTTCTTAAATAGACTTTGTGTTCAAAACGTATTTTAGCCTCGATTTTAGCTTAATTCTTGCAACGAAACTCCCGCAAGAGTTATTAAAAAATGGAATACAAAACCGCTCTTTCTTATTAATTATTTTTTAACTTAGCGTGAAATTTAAAGTACAGTAATTTGCAGCGTTAATAAATTCGCCATTCTTTCAATTATGAGATCTCCTTGTTGCAGGAACAATTATTTTCGGTTCCGACCAGGAAGTGGCTGGAGTGATGCGAGCTGTTAAACGAAGTAATGCGACGGGTAGTTTTTCATGGATAGGCTCGGATGGCTGGAGCGCGAGATCCCTTGTGTCTGACGGAAATGAGGCCGAAGTGGAGGGTACATTATCTGTACAGCCTCAAGCTAATCCTGTACGAGGTTTCGAGGAGTACTTCCTGGGCCTTAATGTAGAGAATAATCAAAGGAATCCGTGGTTCGTTGGTAAGTTTTTCTTGCGCTTGATTTATTAGCCTCGGTTTAGTAATAGAGCCGTTCGCTCATACGTTTATGCGTGGTAAAAAGTTTATTTTCGCTATAAATTTTCCCTTCTTATGTCGCCCGTATTTCGGTTTATATACACCAATAATATCCCTTGCGATAGCTTCATGCAAAACTTTACGATTTATCTCTTATTTATTATAGGATTTTGCTTAGAGGCGTCCAGTAGATTCTAAACTCTTGCAGTAGTAAAGAAAACGTAGTTGGAAATTAATATCGTGGGTTTAAAAAAGGATTTATTTAGCATAATGCTATAAATAATTGCAGAGAACTCCCACAAAACGAGTACCTTAAGACGCTGGAAGGGTAAGTGTTGTCCAATTACTACTGGGCGTCAAACAAATACGAGGCATATTTCAGCCATTAAAAATACCCTAGTCGTTTCCAGTCACCTTAAAAGACTTAAAGTTCAGAGTTCTTTCGGTATTGTCATACAATCATCCACTACACTATCAGAAAACTAAATACTAAAATTCGTCTTACATTAACCCGCAAGAAGTTATGCTAGCAATAAAGCGCCGACTGCAACAGAAGTATGCGAGAAACAAATTTGGATTTTTTTAATCAAAATGTTTCCGCAAAGTTGGTCGAAGTATTCGGCTTGTAGAAACTCCCTGCAGCGTTAAAATGTTGCGGTTGTAATACTAAAAGCTAAATGAGAAAATATGGAGGTCTCTTTTTCATAATCATTTTATTTACAAAAATTGTTGCATTTTCATATCGCAGAAACGACCCCTTCATTTACTTGTCTATTTATATCGCACTTGTCAAAATCGCAATTACAGCACAAATTATTTAATTACGATTGAATGTGTTGACATATTTAATCAATTTTCTGATGGATCATTGCTCCACTAGTTTTCCTAAAAAGTGGTAGATTTAGAAGAATGCTGAGAATTTGTACTCTGAGGACGTATTAAAAAAATGACAGAACCTATAAAGAGCAATGAAACAGAAAAGTACAAAGAACCTGAAAAAACTGAAGGATCAGAAATCAGTTGGTTTCCCGTATGTAAAGAATCCACCACTTCCACCATAAAAAAATCTCCTTCTTTATGAATTTTCACATAAATCGCCAATCGCAATTAGACCTCAATAACGCCAGCTTCGAAAGAACCCGTCTCGCGCCCCACCTACGCCAAGAAAAACGCACATCTTCCGCTTCGTGCAACCTCTTATCAGAATCACATGTGCATTAACGAAATTTCGCCTAACAATAATTCTTCGTATCGCAAACGACCAGATATATCCTTTTATATATGTACATGTGTAGCACCTAGCACCTAGTCTAAATTGAAAAATTTACAAAACCAATAAAACGAAAACTACGCATCTACACTAAAAGGAAAAGCAAATACTGAAATAAAAATTCAAACGGAACGATCACGCTTTGTTCGTAAAAACCCACAGGATTTACTTTAAAAAAAGTGAGGAATTCGTACCACCAAAAGCCGAATCTTAAGAATATTGAGCATCTGAATAACTCAATAGAGCAAAAAAATTAATGGAATAAAATAATCCTAAATATCCGTAAAGAGCATGTGTACCAAATTTTGGGATGGTAGGCTGTAGCTGTACATGTAAAGGTGGCACAAAACTATAAAGGATATGAAGCTTTTGTGCGCCATGTGACTTTCTGGGCCGTTCCCAGAGCGGCCCTCCTCTTTTTTACAGTTTTCTATTCTATTTATAAAATGTAGAAGGGCTTGGGAAACTATGAAGAAGGTAACAGAAAGAGCTGCAAAGGGTGAGGATCCTTGGAAAAGGTCAAATAAGCGCTGTACAGAGCCCTGCAGAGAGATGGAGGTCTGCAGAAACACTACTGAGCATTGGAAACGTCCGAAACCCTTCGAACACACAATTTGAAAGGGTTTAAAATGCTTTCTAGAGCTTTCTAACGCTTCTCAAAACCTTTTAAAGGCTTTACAGAGATTCCCCGATGACATTATAATTTTTTAGAGGGTTTTCTGAATACTTTTCGAGCTGGTTGCTCCTAGAAAGCACAAAAAATCTAAAAACCGCTGAGCGAGCCTAAAATAGTTTGATATAGATTAAAATGGGAAGTATATCAATAGAGGTAATAAAAAAACTAAGAAACTTCTCTCTCTCTGGTCGTTCTAGAAGCCTTTGAGAAATTGTCATATTAGAAGCTTTTCCAGAACCTCTTAGGTGCTCTTTTTCTATGCGGTTCCCAGAGCTAGGCGGACCTGATAAGTTCTGTAAAAGGTGCTTGAAAAGGTCTGTCAATCTTTGTCAAGATCCTGGAGTGTTCTGGAAAGAGTTGAGAAACCTAAGACACAACCAAATGGTTTTGGAGTGGAAAGCTCTGTAATAGTACCGGGTGATTCATTAGAAGTGAGGACAATTTGAATTTCCCGCAAATCAAAAAAATTATGAAGTTGGTACTAACTGATGATCATTTATTTAATTGCAGTGGTGTATCGTCATGCTCTCAGGAAATCGTTTACTTATTTATAATCTACAAATACTGCTTCTGTTTTACCACAAATCATAAACTAACACTAGACACAGTCACGTTTCTTACATATTTTAGTGCCTCAACTCTAAAAATTGTTCAAAATGGAGAAAGTAATAAACCGCAAATGGCACACAACAATTAACGGCGACACTGGTTTCTTAAATGACAGTCATGACAGATAAAAATTACTAACGAAATTCAAACCGTCAATCTAATAATGCAAAAAATACTAAAACCTTACGCGCGAAATTCAAGCGTTCGTCACTTCTAATTAATTAATTTAATTTAATTTTAATTTTATCCCTCTCTTGTTTTGTTCATCACTTCTAATGAATCACCCGGTATTATAAAGCTCGATAAGCCATCTAAAAAACTCTCAAAAGGATTGGATTGCTCTGAAATGTACCAGTACACGCGTTGAGGAGATTTTTGAAATTTTTAGAACACTGATAATTTTTTAAGATACTTCCAGATCGTATCGGTTCTATAAATTCTTTGAAATGGCTTTCTGAGAATTCCAAGTGCATTCTAACACTGTTCGAGAGCCGCATAAGGGTCTGATCAGATATAAATTCAAGTTGAGAAAACCAAAAATTTTATTTTTTATATCTGCAATTTACCACAAAGTCACCTTCCTTTTGCTTTAGAACCTCACCCTTTGATTCAGGTACTTTATAATTTTGTGTTGAGAGTAATTAGTACTGCATAGGCACATAAAATAATAATTTTGAGTTTTTGAATACTGATCAGATGCAAATTCAAGTTGCGAGTGACCCAAAATTCTGTTTTTCAAAGTGTTGCTGTCGAGTCACCTTTGGAATTTTTGTTTATATGGGAAATCGTACCTAATTCGACTTCCAAAGGCGACTCGACAGCAACTCATTTTTGATCGCCCGTTATTGAGAGTAATTGGTACTGCGGAGGCATATGAAATAATTATTTTGAGTTTTTTTATACTGAGCAGGTGCAAATTCAAGTTGAGAGTGACCCAAAATTTGACTTTTCATTTTTATTTTTGCAATGTACTATTAAGAGAGCTTCTCTTTGCATTAGATCCTCACTCTCTGATTCAAGTACTTGATAATTTTGCACTGACGTTAATTAGTACTGCGTAGTCACATGAAATAGTTATTTTGAGTTTTTTTATACTGATTAGAGGCAAATTGACCCAAAATTTTATTTGTCATTTTCATTTCCGCAATTTACTTCAAAGTGTGCTTCCCTTTGCTTCACAGGGTCTCACTCTCTGATTCAAGTACTTGGCAAATTTGTATTTAAAGAAATGAGTACTGCGTAGGCGCATGAAGTAATTACTTTGAGTTTTTGGAAATCGAGTGATACTCTTCAAAACACGACTTAGGAGGTGAACGTTCCCCGCATTTTACGTAAGAAAAAACGAACTCCCGCCATGGTAAATTCAATTTTATCCGGAGTGTATTCAAGCTCGTTTAGGTTAGCCTCTCGAGAAGGCTCCTTTTATAGAAATTCAATTATAAAATTTGAATTATAATTGATAATTCCATTTTGAAATTTCTAAATCTCGAATTGGTTTTGTTTTGTCCCAAATTCTACTTGAAAAGGTATAGTGAGAGTAAACAGCTCTTTGAGGATATTAGGAGGCTTTGGGAATACGTAACAAAAGTAAGTATAGTAAATAATAGGGAGACTTTGAGTGCTTCCAATTGTTTTTTTGAAGAAATTTAAAAGCTTGGTATAAAAGCCCTGGGAAACCTTGGAAAAGCTCTGAAAATACGCTAACAAGTTTTATCAAGATCATAGAAAGCTATGAAATTGGCGTATGATGATGCCATGTTAAAATGACCAAAACTGCACTTACGAAATTTATACATCAGAGCCTCAGAGGGCCTGATTTTGTGTACCCTTAATAGGGATTTATTGCTGTAACGCCCAGATTTAAATTTATTACATTAACCACCCCATGTAATCGTTAAAAAGGTCATTTTAAGTTCAAACTGGAATAGATTCTTGGATATAGAACGTTTTCATTTTGGAAATGATGGCACCGACGATGCTTAGTTACCATTAAATGAAGTTATGGGAATTTAATTTAATTTAAAAGGAAAATTGAAATACATCGAAATTAAATTGTAACTAAATCTGAATCGTCGCCTGAAGCAATTTCATCAAATTGGTGCTCAGGTGGCTTTCGAAACCGCCAATCTGGTATAGTGAAAGTGAGATTTGTTGAGACATTCGCATGAAACAATGACATTTAATTACATTTTTAAAATTCGCCAGGTTTTTAAGCTCTGCACGTTTGCAATAAAACGTATAGTGGAGAAGAGGCGAGCAAGCGATATCGTTTTTCCGAAACTTTTATTTGCCCGAATGAATTTGTGAAAGGACGTAAACTCGTGTTACCCTGATCGGTCTTCAAGATTGATTACAGTGACATTTATGTAATACTTGCTTGAAATAAAAAAAAGCTTGCGGTGAAACAAACCCTGTGGCCAAGAGCAGAAAAATGGGAAAGATGCAGGACAACATACAAGCGTTTAGCTTTCTCGCCAAAGTTGGAAATTGCTAGGGTAATAAATTCAAGAGCGGATATTAAAATCACCATAAAAAGCCAAATTAAAAACGAATCCAACAAAGAGCTGCGAAGAATTCTTTTATTACAAACAATCCCTATTCCGACCCTCACTCCGTGGAAATTAAATTATTTCATCAGACAAAGCAATCTCTTTACTTTGGTGCGAATTCAACAAGTATTGAGAGAAAATTGAACTTATTAATCGTGTAACAATTGATATTCCACCGGATGTTTTTTCCTCTTAACAAAAGTGAGAAGGTGATTGATGGCTTTGTCTAAAAAAGTTAATAAAAAGATTCGCAATTTTATCCGAAGCGATATATCATGGAGGCGGTAAATTACACGGCTTACTTTAATTGCGTGGCCACCTTTTTTCCACCCTTAAAATCGACTGGAAAACTTGCGGAAAATTTGGGTTCAATTTCATGTAATTTCCTATTACAAGATTAAAGGCTTTTCAAGGCGCATTTTTAAGATATCAGTTGGGTACTCCTATTCACTTACATATATCAAGTTATACGATTACTAAGCGCTTAAATGGTTTAGGGTTGACAAATAATATATAAAAAGAATTAATTGACAAAGTTGAAAATTTCAATTTAATTTTTGACCCACAGGATATCAGGAATTAACAATCACACGGGGTGGCAAATGTAATAAGTTTAAATCTGTAGTTACTCTACCGTTATAGTGATAAATCCCTATTAAGGGTTCACAAAGCAGAACCTCTGATGTAGGAATTTCGATAATGAATGGAAATGAAGTTTCAGCCATTTTATAGGACATTGTTGTGCTGCATGACTGTGCTATAAATCATGATATCGTTAATGTACTTTTTCTAGGACTTTTTTTACTATCAGACCAACTACCCATTAAACTTCTTTGAATACATCGTGCTCATTCGATTCATTTTGGTAACTACTCACCTAACTGTAAAAATTGAGGTCATGTTTTTCTCCATCCGAATGCATCCGATGTAAATGACACTTTTTTTCCGAAACGCGTTCAAGATTTTCGTAAATTGCACACGGTAATTACAAATATTCTCTAGGGAGAATGTAGTTTGGTCTGCCAGCGGATTTTATCCAATGAGTTACATGCTCGGTTACGACCAAAATAATCCCATGTTTGCATCTGGGCTCGGCCAGGTCACATAATTAATAAATAAATTAATTAAGGAATAGATTTCCATTAATTCAATGCGTTCCGTCGTGATTGGTGATTTATTTGAAAATTCTTAAAGAGGCAATTTATTTTATGGTGGTAGTTGTGTTCCCTTAAATACTGTAGACAAACAAAAAGAAAACGAAGCTACGAGTTTCGCGACGGTTGGAATTTTAGCCAATTTAAAATCGGTTTTTGATGTGGCAGTAGAACTTTTCTGATAGTTAGTTAATAGGGGTAAAAAGGAATTGAAATGGCCATAAGTTGAACAATTAATAAACCTCGAACTAACACGAAATACTCCTCTCAATTTAGGAAATCATTTCGTATCTTCTACGGTCCTCAACCGTAAGCGTTTAGGCATTTCGTCCTTTTGCATTTAATAACTTAGGGCTATACCTGTCAGAAACTGCTTGAGCCAACCTACTAATTAGGAACCAATTTCAGTAGTAAAACGTCAAAATGTTGTGCAATGGTTGTGTAAGATCGTTGTAGTTTAGCTTATAATATTTTCATTACACTTTTGCTTTTGACCCTCTTTTTTTAAACAAAATCATTTAATCGACTGTAACACTTGTGAATCCGAATCGCAAACTAAGTTTTAACAAACATTTAGATGCAAAATTGGCCAGTATTAAAATATTTCCGTTTATTTATGAGTAACTCAAAAGTTGTTCTAGAAGGATAATCAAATATTATACATTAACCCTGAAGTAATGTAGTAAAGAAAATACCTTGTAGAAGAAAAAAATTAAAGGGGATAATAAAACTGATCCGGACTTACAATGTTGACTTGTAACACACTACAAGGAAACGGTACCTACACACAATCCCTCGCCAAGTTTGTGTCCAACTTCCGGATTTAGTTCGAGTTCCTACTTAACCTTAAAGTTTATTTGCGAGTAATCCCTCCAACGGTTTCCTTTTATTGCACTTTCCACGGAAACAATCGCTTCATATGTTAATACGAAACTTTTATTAAGGCAGCAAACGTTTGTATTTACCAAACGTTATACGAATATAAATTTTTGGATTGATGTAACGACACGGTCGCCTTATAGGAATAACATGTGGCGCCGTAACTTTTACGATATAACGTGTTAATGGCCCTAAATCCCATTTCGTGTTTATTTTAATAGGGGAGTATGCTGGTTCGACGGGGAATTGGGTTGTAATTACCATTTAGATAATAAATTGGTTCTATATGTTAAGCCCCCAACGGTCGAATTAATTGAGAAAAAACTGTGGAAAACTGCCTTGGGAAACGAGTAGATTTCATTCTTATTTGATTTCCTATTATCCTTTAGGCGAGGAAAAATACAAAATTAGATCTAACTGTTCTCTTTGATGACACTTGAGTTAATGTCTTGATTCTACTATCAGCTTTTCAAGAAAATGAGGGAAAAGGATTGGTTACAAATGGCGGATAAATCCACCAAAAACCCAAGACGGTCTACCGAGTGCCGTTTGGTGCAAATTGAACGATGAACTTCTTTGGATTATTTCTTTAAGAATATACAGTGATTTTTATTTACAAGTAGAGATGGATTTACGTGTATTGTTTTTCTCTATGTCTACTTTTAAATGACAAAATCGCTTCTGAAGGGCGCCTAATTTTATGCAACCAAAGTCACTTCTTAAAACAAATAAGGATCTGGCTGTCATATTAATTACTTTGGCTTACACAAAATAAATCTCTTACGCTCCTTAAACTGTTACCGGCACTACAGCAATTTTCAATATCAACCTTTTCTTCAGTTGAATACATCGCACAAGAGCGAAACTAAAAAATACGGAAACAGCAACTTTCTTTTATCAAGGTGCTCATTAAAGCATATGTGACAGTTTCGATATGATTGATTGAGCTTTTGGTTTATTTGGGAAAGATAAAGGAAATTGTTTGGGATAACGTGGTAATTTTAATCGTTAAAAAAATTGTATTATGAGGTAGAGATGTTGGATTAAATTGGGAATATTCTTAGTTAGTTCGCTTCTATGCATCAGTGTTTATTGTTTGTTAAAGTTTTAAGATATTTAAGTGGGACTTTGTTTTAAATACAAAAGACGCAGTGTGGTTTCAGACACATTAATTAGTAATTTGGGTAGTTTGGTTTTTTAAGTGATTGAGAGATTCTTTTAGTATCCCTATAAAAGTTTTATGCATTTTTCAAAATTTTGTAGCATGAGAGACTTTCTGGGGAAGTTCTTGTAAAATTAGAAGATGAAAAATATCTGAAAAGATGGTGAACACTCTTTGAAATCTATAAGAACTTCTAAAGGGCCATAAACTTTATGCTTTTAATAAATATAGGAAGCGTTATAAACTCCTTCTTTGCAGAATTCTGGGAGGACCACTTCCAGTGCCGTTATCCCAACAGCTCAAGGACACCCTACAACCAAAAATACACTCGAGTATGTACCGGAAAGGAAAAACTGACCCGCCAAAATACCGTCTTCGAAAATCAACTGCAATTCGTCTCCGATGCGGTCATGGCGTTTGCATATGCAATAAGGTGAGTTCGTACGTAAAACGTGTTTACAACCTGTTGCTTGGTTACGTTCGCGATTTACATGCAAAATTTCGAGGAAAATCATTTTTCTGCAGCGTATTTCCGAAATTGAATTGTATGGGGAACTAAATAAACGCGGAATGAAGCCGAGTCTCGGGAGCGAGCAGGAAAATCGATTTATTTTTTTGCAACTTCATAACAGCAATATTTCATGAAGCTTATATAGTATTGGGGTGGAAGTACAGACACTTTCTTTTGTATTGTGAATTTTAGAATAACTACTACCAGCTTGTCTATTTGTAAAGCTGTCATGAAAACTATCTTTTAGCATTTCCATGAATTGTGGACATCAGTAAAGCCCAGGGCTGTAACTTTTGATCTAGTAGCTCAATCTTGGAACTGTTTGAAATTATGGAATTCACAGGCCCTATTCTACAAGAAAATGTTTTTTGCGGTCAATCTGAGACAATTTTTCTTTGGGGCCTCAAAAAAAGGCAGTGTACAACCTTCCTTTTTTACCAAAAATCGACTACACCAAAATTTCTCGGAAAAACACTTTTTCTTATTAATTTTGGGGCGTAGAATCCAAAACGATTCGTACTTTTTCGATTAGACTTCTCAATCAAAAGTTATGGACTAAAAACCAATTTCGAAAGAAAATTCAAAGGGTTGTAACCAGGGTAAAGCCCCTTTTTGCATTGACTTCTTTATCAAACTGCACACACAGTTAATCCCTTCAATTAATTAAAGTTTGTGTATTAATAATTATGGCTACTTTCTTTCCTGTAGGGAAATATCTACAAATCAAATTAATTCAATTTGCCGTTTAAGTTTACTATTTCTGTTTAACTCAATTAAATGAAGACTCACTCAAAGTGAAAGGCTCTCTTTGTTATAAGTTAATTATAACTTTTCGTCTTTTAAGGCTATCTACCTATCACTTACGAGTCAAAGCAAAAATCGACTACAATTAAATGAAATCAAAACCGATCACAGAAACTAAACCTTTTCTTCTTCTTACAGGGCAATGCATAATCATTCGTGCCATGGTCGTCCCGGATTATGCGACGCGATGAGGCCTACGAAAGGAACGGAACTGCTAAAATATCTTCGCAATGTAGACTTCGAGGGTAAGTTCTCGTGTAATTAACTGAATTCGTGGTAAATAAGAACGATTTTTGCGGGTTTATAAATTCGCCAGGATTGAGTATTAAAATGTCAGATGTAAAGTAATGGAAGACTTCAAGGCACAGTACTATACATCCAAATAAAATAAATTAGCTTTCTCGGATCCCTTTTAGCTATAAGCGTCAAAATCTTAACGCATTCGGCATTCATTTTAAACTTTTCGGTTCTTTCAAAATTTCTTTTTAATACGATCATCACTTTTCGAGATATTCTAAACCTAATATATTTGCTGGCGGGTTTAAAAGCGTATTCAATTCCATTTTTTCTTCGCAGACAGATTTATTGGCCCCGAAACATACAAATGTGAACCATTAATTTTCCCATTCGCGTCTTTGTCGATTATAAATTTATACTAATATATCATTTGTTATACCTTTCCCGGTGACGGTAAAGGTAGAATTGGAAAACTTCCACAATGGCGACGTAAAGTAATTCATTGATTGAATTTGTTATAAATTAACATTTCTTTGAATCTTTAATTCTTCAGTTAATGGGTCAGGTTTTCAAGTATATTCAAGAATTTCCAAAAGCCTTCATGGGCCTTTTACGGGTTTTTGAAGAGCTTTGTGAGCTTTTAGAGCGTTTGAAATCGCTTAAATTTGTATGGATTCTGTTGCTTTTATGATTAAGTTCTATGGTAAATCGTAATACGTCAGCTTTGGTTTTCAGGAGCACACATTTCTGCGTAAAAATCAACTCCTTGCCAACCACCCCATCCCCATAACAACCCACCAAATAAAAATTATCTTGTGATGAGGGGTTAATTTTTACGTAGAAATGTGTCCTAAAAACCAACGTTCAAAAACTTCACGATTTTTTTATAGTTTCAATATCGTTGTTCATCTAATATGCATTGTATGTTAGACTCTGCACCAATAGCAGTAAACTTAGGTGTACAGGGTGAAAATTTTCTCTGAAACACTGAATATATCTTCAAATTACCTATAAAAATATTGCTACTAATCTACTGATCACAAATTCAAAGTACGTATAGATTGGTATTTATAATTTTGGATACCATAAAAAGCTTATTTCAAAAAATGTTATTTTGAAAATATATTCAGTGTTCCAGACACCCCTGTATACTCTCTAATATAACTGAAAATGATGCTGTGTTTCTATTCCACTGCATTCTTTCACTTAATTTGATTATATTACTGTAATGAAATGTAAGAAGACCATTTCAGGTGGCTGAACCTTTTTTCGTCAAAATTTTTTTAAAGTACTTTATCAAAAGAAATTAAAATTTTGATTGACCTTCGTCAAATGTCATATTTTTTTAAAATCTCAAATGGCACCCCCCTAAACAAATTATACCTCTGGATAGCTAAAACTACAAATTTTCCACTGATACCAAGAAAACCACTCATTCCATAAGAAAATTTCAGAGAAAAATCAAACCGAAACACCAAAAAAACTTATTTTGCAAACCCAAGTGTTTCAAGAAATGCGAGTTTGATCCGCCACTGGAATACAGCACGCCCCCCCTGGTAATCAAAAATATTTTAGAAATATGGCGACGGTAAATGTGTACAGTTTTACTCTAGGACTTTTATCGGTATCTTTTATGGTAAAGGAATTATGATCCGAGGGGTCTTAGGTGCTACACCTTGTATATTATTAATCGTGTCTAAAACCCTGGTGTATTTGTAAATTAAAAGCACAAATAATACAAAAATAAATTTTTACAGTTAACCATCATTTTATATTCTGGAATCTTATGCACAACTTTACTAAGCCATAAGTAATAAAAATGCCAACAGTCAGAACTGCATTATTATTTAAATTTTAAAGCAATGTTTTTTCTTTCCTTTACCCTTTTGGCAATTGACGTTTAGCTTTTTGAGTCTTAAAATTTAAATAATTTTTTTACAATTTTGTTTATTTGGCGGCAAGTGTACAATCCAGTAGTGGCCACCTATTGGAGAGAAATAGTCAAACAGATAATGTCTTAGGTAGGATAGAATAGTCCAGTGTTTCATTGCAGATGACGTGACTACGAAAATTATTTCAATATTCAGACTCTTCTATTCCTCAAGAACTGAAGGCATTAAGAGAAAAAGGGAGGACTGTTTTGGGTTCTTGCAAAACAATTTTACGAAATATTTTCCTAATGTATTTTGCCATGATTAACTAGTTACCTTTTGCCATTTGGCAAAAATGCTCCGCACTATGGCAAATGTGTTAAAAAGGAAGTGGATATACCTACCGAAGATTCGAATCGAATAAAAAATAGACCCTTTGGTGCTGCAACACTCCATTAAAAGAGACATTGACCTATAGGAACACTTGAAAATGTTACAGAATTTGATCCATCTCTTGTTTCAAGCAGTTCTCCGGAATTGACGTGCCTCTTTTTCCAAGACGCTCCCCGTTCCCAGCAATTCTCCAAAGCTGCACATACCGATATCCCCAAGTAACTTCCCATTGATAGAGATTATGGAAGTAAAGGAGATTGAAAACGGTAAGGAAAAAGGTCATGCACCAAATTACAGAAAAAGTTCACTAAGGAGAGTCAAGCATCTGAAAGAGGAAATGGTAAAAAAGTTAAACCGAACAATGTGAAAAAAAAAGAAAAAATTGTAAAACTGATGAATTCAAGACTATAGCCAAAGTAGACAATATGAGTGAGGAAAGGCGTTAAATTTTTGTTACACGATTTTCTTGTATTTTATTCTTTTTTTTTTTCATAAGGTGTGTTAGAATTAATTCTTATAATTTTTCATTATCTGTGTCAATTTTAAATCTAGGTAGAGTTTTATTTTTCTATGTCAGATGTTTCAAATTGCTTTTTATCCGAAGATTATTTCCGATTTTATTCAAAATTTGAGTAGTGATTTCATTGGAATTTACGGAATTTGATGGAGGCATTAGAGTCCTCTAGGTTTATAAGAGTTTTAATTTATTGTTAGGATTTTCTTGGTGCGCCGTTCATCACTTATTTGTGAACCAATTTACAACTATTTCAAATGGCTACCATCTCTTTCTCGCTCATGTGTTGACATGTGATAAAGAATAAAGCACTCGCGTCATATTTGTTCACAAACTAGTGACGTGAAGCTCATCTTCAGTGCAAACGACTGTACATAAGGAGTTGCATAGGTTCGCGAAAAGCGTTATACATTTTTGCTTAAAAACTACAAGTATATACAGGGTGTTACACATAAGAAATTAAGAAAAATTGGATAGCAGAAGGGATCCAAACAAACACTTTTTCCCAATAAACCGAGGGTCTAATGCATTTCGTTTGGGAGCCATCCTCAAAAAAGTGGTGAAATTTCTGCTTTAATTCTTTTTCTCGGCAATCATAAGAGAGGCTGATGGCACGTTTTTGAATAAGTTTTGAGGTATGCCCTTTCCGATTTAGCAAATTTTTTCTTAAAATTCCTACCACGAATGGCGCACCTCTAAACAGGGTTGCGGAAAAAATGATTTCGACGAAATTTAGTATCTAGGGGATTTTTAACATGAAAATCGCGAATCTGAAATTAGTTTTCCAAAATTGTAAAAAAAATTCTACTGCAATTCTTCTCCAGACAACTAAAATGGAGAGAATTCAATGAAATTTATTGCGTATACATACTTAATGAGTTAAGGAACAAAATTATCGAACACTTTTTTTTAAAATCACAAGTTGTATCCATTTGAAAATTGGTCCTTGGGGTCAGAAAGTATCCCCCGCCTACTAGTGAGTCATCTAATGTCGCATGTTTAGTTAGTTGAAAATGTTGCATATAACAAAGAATTTAAGCCACATATTCTTGGAATCGAATTTTCATAACACGATAGACATACCTACCGATTTTTTAAATAATATTTAATCATAATATCGACTTAAATCGTTAATTTTGTTGCTATTTGCGACATTTTCAACTAACTACATGCGAAACTAGACGACTCACTAGTAGGCAAGGGATACTTTCTGACCCGAAAGACGGGTATAACTTGTAATTTAAAAAAACTCTTCGCCAATTTTGTTCCTTAACTCATCTAGTCATCTAGTGCCTATACACTTCAAATTTCGTGGAATTCTCCCCATTTTCATTATCAGGACAAGAATTTCAGTGGAATTATTGTTTTCGAATTTTCAAAAATTTCAGATTCGTGTGTTTCATGTTCAAAAACCCCCAGCTATCAAATTTTGTCGAAATCAGATTTTTTTTCACACCCCTATGCGCCCTTTCGTGGCCAGAACTTTGCCAAAAAAATTAGCAAAGGGAACATCCGAAATTTTGATGATAGACTCTCATAATTAATAACGTATCCGTCGGAATTTTTAATACGTATGCCTTAGGAACGAACTCTGCCGAGAAATGTTGACGAAAGGAACAAATGGAATGTGTTTGTTAATTGCACTGGTACTTTTGATCGAAATTTTGGCACAATTGGAGAAAACTTCATTTTATCCTTTATATAAAAGTGCAGTAACCGCCTTAGACGCAAATTGTTGTAACATACACGTAATTCGGTACAAGATGCAATATTATTTTGAAATGGCAATTATCAATATCGAAAACAAAAGTTTCCATACCTTTCTATTGTAGTGTATGGGACCTTCGCATCGTCCTCATTTTCCAAAATCGGCATCAGAACACCAAACCACTACTTACACTTACTTATGACGATATACAAACGACCACAGTTAAGAAGCAACTGCTTTCAAAAGTAAGTTATGCCCAGGGTTATGCTTTATCAGTTTAAATTAACAGGTTACTTGGACTTGTATAAAAGTATGATTCATTGGCCTGTGTTCCACGTTCTAATCAAATGACTCACGTTTCGTTTTCGAATCGCGTAAATCGATATTCATTTTTTTTTTAAATGTATCCTTGCAAACTAAGGGAGAACTCTATCCAAAATGCTATACAAAGTGGTGAAGTGGGAATTTTTTTGACTCTTTTGTAAAAGGGTTAAGGAAATGGTTAATGCAACCCTGCTAATA